TTTAACTCATATTTAATTTTATCGATTAATATTTATATACAGGCATACCTCTATATACTAAGGCAAGTATCGATACAAGCAAGTGTTTATGTTTTAAAATAAACTTTTATCTAATTGTAATTTTAATACAGGAAACATGATGCAAGCAGCAAAAAAACAGAAACAAGTTAAATTGAATGATAAGCAGAGGGAAAAAATTGTCAATAAAATCAATTGATTATATCCAGCAATTTTTGTCGTTTAAATATACAAGTGGCCTCCAATAGGAAACCTTGGACTAAAACTTGTATGTTTAACTTCTAGAAATTTTGCTGCTAGCTATTGGGGCTGTAATGATGTTGTCTCCAGTAGAAAACCCTGGACTAATTCATCGAAACTTGTTTTGATTAGCTAGCAAGCATGCAAAAGTTATATTGCTATACTGTTGTTGCTTCTAATGGAAAACCTTGGACTCAGGCAGGGCTATCGATATAATATATAGCAAGCTCTATGTCGATATAAGTTAATATTTATAACTTGTAGCTGGAAAATCAATTGATCGATTCAATATAGGTGCAAGGTTATACATATATATACAGTATATAGCTAATTCTTCTATTTTATATATATAGAAACCTACACCACTACACTGTATTTTCTGTGGTCATTAAAAAATAAAAACCTAGAGAGTATGATAATTTTTACAAGACCCAATTTCTAAATTAGCAACTGTTCGCCTTGCTTTATGTAACTTTGGCATCGATTCTTTTTCAAATGTAAATATAATAAATAAACATGCTTTATATTTGTTATTTATTAATGTTTTTAAATAAATAGGAAAACTGGTAGAGAGAATTCATGTCGTACCCAATCAGCCAACAATCTACTTCCAAATCTAGTTAGGCTGCACGAAGATGTGACCTCTGGTCTTCTTGATGATCACGGGCTGAAAACAGGTCGAAGCAAGAAAGGCTACATGAGGAAAGGCTTCTGGTCTAACTCTGGTATAAGCCCACAACCCCAATTGGCACGACAGACTTTGTAGCACCACCTCCTATTCAGGTTGAATGGCTTCCTGAATAAAAGTTGTATCCAATTAGCCAACTTTCCCAAACTGGCATGGCAGACTCCGTATAATGCAGGTCAGACCTCACTACCCTATTTGATGTTAGTGCAATCTGGATTGGTGACCCAATTGGGAAAGAGTAGGGTCACAAGCCAAAAAGGTGACCGCTAGAAAGGTTTTTCAACTGTTGAACAGGATTTTCCTTATCTTATATTTACAAATAGGAAGTTATAGTATAAACCAGGATATGGACTCACCTACTTGGTGAAAGTTGGTATTCTGGTAAAAAGGAGCGGGTAGCTTGAGTTAATATTAGCAATATGTTAATAGACTATTTACGCGTAGACAATTGTAATCTTAAATGATCTCACAATAAAATACATGCGTATATTGCAACTTGGCCCTTTAAAAAAAAAAAAAATAAATAAATAAATAATAATAATAATAATACGTAATAATTAAAATTAAAATTAAATTAAATAATCTATAAAATTTATAAATATATATATACAGTTAACTCTCCCTAAATGCACACCCTTGGGACCAAAATTGTAAAGGTGTGCATTTAGAGAATAATATAAAAACGTGCATTTAGAGAAAGTATAATAAATTTATATAATTTAAATACATTTATTTAATTATTTATATTTGAAAATAAATTATTTATTTATTTATTATTTATTTATTTAAATATTGTTTTATTTTTTAAACTTTATTTATTTATTAATTAATTAAAAATATTGATCTAGATTAGTTTGTTGCATCATATTAGCTTTTTTTTCTTTAATATATTTCTCAAGAATATTTGTTATTTTTATATACTTACTTGCATTTTCTTGTTGTAATAAAAATGTTTGTACAGTTTCTAAACTTTGTAATGCCATATTAATACTAATAGATGTTATTTCAATACTATCATCTATGTTCTCTAAATTATTTTCATCTTCCGTTATTTTAAATATATCTATAAGCTTTGCTATTACCTGATCATCATTAGGCATTTCATAAACAATATCTTCTTTAGGAATTGACAAAAATTCATTAACTTCCATTGATTTAGAAAGATGAAGTTTTTCAAAAACTTTACTAAGTTCATCAAATATAGCATTTTCAGCTATACGGACATGATCTGAGAGACCTTTTAAGTCAGAATTAATACCAATATAAAGAATATTAATATGACACCAACAATTACGAATTGTTTCTTCTGTAATTTCTTCCCATGCTTTAATAATATATTGAAGAGCTTGAAGAATGTTCATTTTTAAAAATTCTATTTGTTGTCCAACTTCATTTTGTTCCAACATCCATCTAAATATTAATAAAAATTAATATTTTTTTAGAAAAAATTAAAAAAAAAATAACAATAATATCTTATAATGTTTGATAGCAACGATAATGTCATTTAAATGCCATTATGATTTCAGCATCTATTGATTGGATTTTTGCAATTGTATTTGGTGAAAAGAAGTAAATATCAATATATTGAAACATTAAACCTTCCAATTTATGACTTGAACAATTGTCAATAAGCAATAAAATATGATTATCACCATGTTTTTTAGTAACTTCCTTATTAAAATACTGTAGCCATTCTTGAAAAATAGATGTAAGCATCCAAGCCTTTGTATTATTTCGATATATTATTGGCAAATTATGAATATTGACATGTTTAAAATATCGTGGTTTTGCATATTTGCCAATTATAAGTGGATTTAGCTTATGCGATCCATCAGCATTTGTACAAAATACAATTGAAAGGTGTTCTTTATCTTTCTTACGACCTGCAAGACATCTCGTAGTCAATGTCTGATTTGGCTCTAATCTAAAAATAAATTTAATATTAGATTTTTATATTAAATATTTTAATGCACAATTATTATATTTACCGATAGAAAAGACCAGTCTCATCCATGTTGTAAATACGTTCAGGAGGATAATTAATACATATTTCATGCAACTGTGGTAAAGTCTCAACAATAACATTTAAATTGACTAATGCTTCTTCTCCTTGAAGTTTTATTTGATGGATGTTGTTTCGAATTTTAAATTTTTGAAGCCATCCAATAGAAAAGTTTAATGCACCTTCAGGAATTCCCAACCCATTTGTTAGCATTTTGGCTTGTTCAGTTAAAATAGCATCACTTAGTATTGTTTAATGCTGATGCATTAAGACAAATTCCTTAAGTGCTTGTTCGAGCTCTGGGTATGTAACAGATCTGTGTCTTTTTGCATTTGGAGCAATGATTTCTTCAGAAAGTAACTGGTCACTTCTTTGCAAAATTCATGTTATAGTGGATTCATTAACCCTGACTTGCCATTTATTTTCAATCCAATTAACATACTCTGTACGTGATTTCTTATTATCACGAGCATACAGACAAAGTTTGTATTTTTGTGAATCAGTTAAAGTTGTTTTACTTTTTGGCGGCATGTTTATTAATGATGAAATTTTAGTACAATCTTTTAACTAGCAATTAGTTATAAAGGATATGACTACGATAGCATGCTTAAATAGTAGCTAACATGTCTATTATATTAAGACGTTCTGTCTACTGTTGACGTAATCAATCGTTGCGACAATGGTGAGTCGGCCATAATAATAATTAGGTAATAAAGAAAGAATTGTTAAAAAAATTATGTAATCTAGCTTTAGCTTTGTCATTGTATTATTGCCTATTGTTCTATGTCCAAGCCGCCATAGCCAAATGTAAAGAAGTAACTTAGAAAAGTTAAGAAAATAGCACACACCTCAAATCACTTACCTGACGATGGTTACGCGAATCTCTACTAGGATTAGTGACAGACTCACTGTTACACCATTACATTTTTGGTGGTGACTATTTGTACAAGAACGAAGTCCAATATTTTGTTTTTTTAGAGAACCGTTCAAGGCATAATGAGAGAAAACTGCCTAAAAAAAAGAAAAGAAATATTCACCAAACATCCATGGCACGGCACCTAAAAGAGCGAAAGAAACCGCCCAGAACATCATATATATTAGTTAACAATCGGCTATCATCCGTACTATGATAAAAGAAAAAAAAATGTTAGAGATAAGATGTGATACAACTTCATTTACCTCCCTGCGCCGAAATATTCGGAAGAAACCGATAGACGTAACAAGACCGAAAGGAGGGACAAAAACTTTGCAAACCAAAAGATATAAATTCAGAGGTAGATCAGAAAAGGACCTGCATTCATGGATCGAATGCTACGACATCACTAACTTTAGGAATTGGACCATAAAAAGCTGAGAGAAATAAGTATTTAGAGGGAACTGTACTAGAATGGTATGAAGACTGCCAAAACAAACTTACCAATTGGGACGATAAATATGACCTCGAATGGAACTTCGTGCTGACGTTTATACAGCATTTCGAAATGCGTGAGAAACATCGTGAATGGCAGAGGAAGTTGGAAATAATGAAGCAAGATAAAAACGAATGGTAGCTGAATACGTCCGAAGGTTTATGAAGCTACTCAGAAAGCTTCACTCAAGAGTGGCTACTTCAAAAAAGTGGCAAACTGGCTGCTGATACTCGTACTATGAGAGGACATCTTATTACAACTTCTGTTAGAGATTTGGTCATACCGACAGAGGCACTCAAAGAAGCGATAAGGATCGAACGAGAGGCCAACAAGACAAAGAAATTAGAAGCTTGTATCAAAAGATTAGGGAAGCAGATACAGAATATAGAGATAAAACTTAACGTACCTGCTGTCTGTGATGAAGGAAGCAATATTTACTCCTTATTATTAGGTCGTCATCATAATAATCAATATGTAAATTATTTTATTGAAAAAAAAAACAAACAATATTTTACAAGTATATTATTATTAAATTAATGTCTTGAATTTTACAATTCAGTACAATCATGACGAAAAATAAAGACTTCATGATTACTTAATAAATTTTGCCATAGAAATTTAAAAGTAATGGAGAGACTTATTTTTACTTGTCAATCTTCTTTCCTTTATTTTTACGAAAACTCTCGATCCTTGCATCCTCCAGTATGAACTTGTACCAAGAAGCAATTATATAGATAGTGCTAGCGTGCCACAAAGAATATGCATCAAAGATTCGCCACCAAGAAGGGAAATCAAATACTTCCAATGAAGTGGTAATTATAATTAAAGCAACTATCACAAGAGGCTTCCAATAATCGTCCGGTCTTCTATGCCAATGTGTTAGTGACCACCCAACCCAGATGAGATTGTTCAGCAAGCTGATGCCAATATTGGCGATAATGTTGTATTCGTAGTCAAATTTGAAGAAGTGTAGGTATGAAACATGTGCAGAGAAAGCCAATAAACAGATCAATGTCCATATGGTCGTATATTTAGTGTTTCGCACTTAGAATACGTGCAGAACTGTGCAGAATAAATTATAGAGAATAGAGAGGCCAGCAGAAAAGTAATCTAACTCTTCGCTCGTGGGGAAGTTACGCATATGATATACAAAAGACCATATCCAACTATTTATACCAATGTAGACATAAATTATATAAAAATTTTTCATGTAATAAAAGTCATGAATTTGTCGATGAAGTTTTGGTAGGTAACGATAATGCATATAACCATTTAAAATACTAAATAGTATGCTAGTAGATTCCTGAATTTCCCAAAGACAATAAAATGGCCATTTCCCGTAATATTGAGTTATCTCTTTGTTTAGACTTACTGCCTGATCAGTGATTTGGTGCATACACTCATATTTGCAATTATCTTCACAAGACCAAGCAAAAATATGGGGCGCTATACTATATTTAATGGTTAGGTCACGTGTGTGCATTTATGGAGATTATTTTATATAGTTGGGATTGCAAAATCCATTGCACATGCAGAATTTAAAGAGTGTGCATTTAACATTAAGTCCCAAGGTTGGGACCATCAAACACTGTGCATTTAAAGAGACTATACATTTAGGGAGAGTGCATTTAGGAAGAGTTAACTGTATATATATATACGTATTTTTAAAATTCTGAGTAAGCTTACTCTAATTTTATTAGTTTTGTAGAGATAACATATATTACATATATTTTACTACAAATCACTACAATTAGAATTCACCCACAAGTATACTATCTGGGTGCACCTACCCATAAGCTTTTTTTATATTTTCTAGCCTCAAATTTATAAACTTTTCAGTAAAATCCAATCACCAATCAAATTACCCATAGAGTACTATGCCTCTATCTTCTTCTGGTTGTTCATCTTATTTAAGACACTCAGTCTGAATTGTCACTATTTGGAGAAGCGGATGGAACCTATTGGCCAGGATTTTTGTTTCAATATCTTTAAATATGGGATTGATGATCCAATCCTTTTAGATAATGCCAGGCTTCAAGCATAGACTGCTTATTTAAGAGGGCACAAATCCTCCAAAGTTAGACTAAGTTTTAAAAGAAGTCTTCCATTCTGGAAATCATTACCAACTAAGTACCTTCACTATAGATAAGAATAGTGAGTATTGCTAGCAAGTCATTACTCATACTAAAGGAAGGGTATATTAAAAGCCTTGCTGAATAGTTTTCCAGTTTGTGGCTTTTCATATTATATTTCTTTTATAGTCTTATAGACTATAGGGGAGAAAAATGGCCTATTGTGGAACCAGGGATTGCATCAAACTTTTAACAACAATCATCATAACACAAATCAGATGATCATTATACTACAACACCTTTTTTTGGAAATCACAATCTCAACGCCTACTGGATCAGCATGTAAAATGACTTTTCATGAAAAACAACACTTAACAGGTTATGGTGTCAGATACCATATTAATAAGGATCCTAACGATTCTCTTCAATTCTGTATTCGATTCTCAAGTTTATATTAAATTTAATAGATAGGGTATACCCTATCATCATTTTTAATAGTGTTCCGAACCTCATGTGATTCTGTTCGATTCTATTTGATTCCAATTTTCAGAACCATAATACTAATGCTTCTTATTTGGGATTAGGAGCAATCTTATCACAAAAGAATAATAAAAGAAACGAACATGTAGTTGCTTATGCAAGCCGCAGTTTGGTTGGAGCTGAATATAATTATTCACCAACTGAAATTGAATGTCTTGCATCTGTATGGGCCATGAAATACTTTTGACCTTATATATATTTAATGGATTTTATATTAGTAACTGATTATGCAGCATTACAATGGATAATGAATAACTCCAATCCAACAAAACAAATGACTCGATGGATTCTTACTATTACTGACTACCCCTTTCAAATTCAATATCGCAAAAGCAAAATGTATCAAAATGTGGATATATTATCACATATATCCTATCCTATAATTAAATAATTATAGATTTGGAAACTTATCAATAGCTATTTCAATATTTATTAGATGAAACTCTACCAATACACCTGGACAACAAACAATGAACAACCCTTAAAAAACAAGCAACACATTATTCGATACAATCATATCAACTTTTTCAACGAAATATTAAAAATCCAATCGAACCTTTACGAGTTATCAAAACAACTGAGCTGGAATCAGTTTTATACAATCTGTATAAAAACATTTTATCTGGATATTTTGGGATTGAAGCAACTTATAATTGAGCTAGGAGTCGATACTATTGGCCAAATCTATACAAAACTATTGCCAAATATATAAAATCCTGTGACACATGTCAATAACAAGGAGCACCTGTACAACATGAGGAAATGCACCCAATATCAATAGGAAAACCATTTGATCAAATAGGAATTGATATTATAGAACTATTAATAGTAACAACTAGTGGAAATCAATATATTGTTGTAACAACTGAATATTTGATTAAATGGCCTGAAGCTAAAGCCATTAAGAATACTAAGGCAATCACAATTGTTAAATTTATTTATGAGAAAATTATCTGTCAACATAAATGCCTTGAAGTCCTATTATTTTATCAAGAAACACCTTTTTGTAATGAATTGGTAGACTCTTTATACCAATTGATACAAATTAAACATCATTTGTCATCTGCTTATTACCCACAAACTAATGGATTAACTGAGCACTTCAACAAAACTTTATGCACAACATTGGCCAAATATGTTAGTAATTATGGTGATACTTGGAATACTTTCCTAAATGCATTATTATTTGCATACAGAATTGTTTAAAATAGTATAATCAAATATATACCATTCAAATTAATGTATAGATGGAAGGCAATAACACCAATGGATTTACAACATCAAACATTAATAAAGGAGAAGGGAACTATAGAGAAACAATTGCAATAACATATTGATTTTATTACTAATGATCTACAAAATCTGTGTACAAATGCACAACAAAATATTGGAAAAGCACAAGAAAAGCAAAAGCAATACTATAATCAAGATATTAAAATAGAAAAATTCAATATTGGAGATAAGGTTTTATTATATGAATCAACAAAAGCAAAAGTACATAGAGATAAATTTAGGGAAAAATAGACCAGACCATACTATATACATGAAGTGAACTTAACAGAAGCATATAAATTAAGGACTATAGATGGAAAAATCTTGAAAAGAAATGTAAACACCAACTGACTCAAGCGATATTTTGAGACACTAATTTGGGAACCACAAATTATAATATAGTTAATTATTAATTATCATTATTTGGATAGCATATATATATAGGACATTACCTTTTTTGAGGACATAACAATAGAGATGGATAGTTATAACAATTGTGCGCAAGTGTGGGTACATAATACTTAGTTATTTTGGGAAAATATCTATTAGAAAAAGAGATTTGAAATTATATGACAACAAGAGCCCACTGAGCAACACCTTATTGCCATATTATCACTGATCCACAAAGTAACACAATAATAAGGAAAATGTGAACATCAATATGGACAAAGCGATTTATTTAAAAAAATGGTTCTGAAGGTTCATGAACTATATATGGATTTGGAAAATGAGCAAAATATTCTGTATTGCTAAGATTAGGACCAGGATCTTTATGTGGATAACTTTCTACTCAGGAAGGATTGGAAGTTCAAACAAAAGAACGAGAAGTAATATTAACCTGCCAAGGAAAAGGACAACAACTAGGAATGGGATGCCGATATTGAAATAATGCTGACTGAAGCTCATCAACATGCTCAAGAAATACCAAAACTTCTAAACACATGACATTTTCTTGATGAAGCCTTGCTACCATCCGACCAGTATTTATCTCAAGGAGTGAAGTAATATGAGACTAATAGTGACCCAGGGATTCCTGACTATGAACTTGAAGATGTCACAATTGATTTCTTTGCTCTTGATATTGTGATCGCAATTGGAATAATTGATTTCGCAACTCAACCAATTCCTCTTGATACTTTGGACATTTACACCTAACAATGGCTTGACCAAGGAACTTAATCTTTTTTTGAAGGGTCATGATGCAACCAACAACAGCATCAGGATGTTCAATAGCACAAGCAAGTCTGTTAACATGAGGCATAATGATGATTTGAAAAATAGAGATAAAAATATAGCAAGGAAAAGTTTAAGTCCTTAAATATGGAAGTAACCAATAATGTTAATTGGCATAACTTCAAAACCTATATAACTACCCCATATCCTGAGAAAATTTTCACTATAGAAAATACCAAAACTCACACGCCAACAATCTGCCTTGGGAAAAATGAACTTACTCAAAATGGATATGCTTTTTATTTTGGATGAAATCCCTGAGAGATTTACTACACCATATAATCCAGTCGTACCAATCAATGAATCTATTAGGATACTGATCTTGAAAATTACCCAATATATGTAACAATCTCATTGAATTGCTGTATTAGCCCATCTGTATTACTTAGGAAAATTATTAAAAGTCACAAAGGATTTACAACAAATTTGGAGAAAATATATCCAAAAATATCTACTATCTAATCATGGAAGGTATTATTGATCCGCCACATGAACCTATGAAATTTTTCAAAAGAATATAGAACAAATTTATCGAACAAAGTATCTATCTATGCACTACATCACTTGAATAACTAATGGAGATTATCAAAATAATTTTTTGGTTTTTGTGAAGGATTTAAGCTCAGGACTTCATCTTTTGAAGGGAGGAAATATGTAATAGAATAGATAACTTAGTCTTATTTTACTTATTTTTTATTGAATTATTTCCTATTCTATTTTTAGCAATAGCATTTATTTAGTTATTTATAGCATATATAGTTATTTATAGTCTGTATAACATAAATCGGACAGCCCAGGAGGCCTAAACAGCTTACAAGGCTCAAAGGATTTACAAGACTATCTAATCTATGAAATTAGGACATCGCGACACAGATCAGGCAGCCCAAGCACCCCAAGCAGCTCAGGCAACCTATATAGAAAAAACACTATATAAGTAGCTGCTGTACATGAATTTAGTTTTTCAGTTTCTGATAACTCACTTCTATAACCATTGGAATTTCTGATTTGGTGTCATAATAAAGTATTATTACACATTTTGGTTACAAAGATTCATTGGGGAATCTTTGCCATACCTTGGAATATTTGTAAGAGATTATCTCTAAAACAACGGACTGTTCTATATAATCTCTAATTCCTTCTAAAAACTACCACTCGGATACAAATCAAATGGATTTTGATTACAGTATTATATTTTCTTATTCTTTATTTTACAAATATTAAAGGTCTTAAATTAAATATAAAATATTTATAATCTGAAATATTTGTTAAAAGTCTTTTG